GGTGGGCGTAGTCGTCGTTCCGCAGCAGATGCAGGTTGCGTAACCATCGTGTACCCGTAATCGGGTGGCGGCGGCTCGCCGCGTTGTAGATGCGCCAATATTTCTTCGTCGAGTGGCGGTGATGGCACGTCACGAACGGTGCGAAACGTGCGTCGTCGTTTGGCGAGGTACGCAAAATACTAAGCAGACAAAGGGGGGTAAAGAGGAGGGTGAGGACGGTAGGATAAAAGGAGTGAACGCGGGTGTAGGAGTATATTGGTTAGAAACATCATATATTGGAGCCGCTAGGGATGCTCTGCGGTATAAACATCCTGCACGTCCGGCATGCGCGCATTGTCGTATATACGTACCTTCCATAGGAAGAACGCAATGAGTCCAATACCAACCACCGCGGGAATGATCGCGGGGGTGTACGGCTTGACATCTTCCCATGTGAGGCCGGGCAAAACGGAAGGGGTGATGGGTGCATTCGCAGGTAATTTATCGTCCTGGGGTCCTTTTGCTCCAACGTTCTCTTTATTCGTGTGTCCAGTGGAGCTAGTACCAGAGGAACCAGGGTTTGAGATTTCAGCGGAACCTGAACTGGGGGAACTATCGGTCTCACGACGTCCCCCTGCGCCATCTGGTACAGCGGGGCCAGGTGCAGTAGCTGCGACAGCAGGAGTTGTTGTAACATCGTGGCCACTACCTGCCGCTGCAGTACTTGCGCTACCGTCGTCGCCGCTACTACCCGATTGATCGGGGTTCGGGTTCGGTTTTGGTTTGGGTGGATTGAGAGGAGGCGGGTCATCATTGCCGCCATCAACGGCCTTCGTACCGCCGGCTTCACCATCTTTACCTGCAGGACTTCCTGCTCCAGAGGCACTAGTTTGATCAATTGTACTACTGGGACTAGGGGGGCTGGGGGCATTGGTGGGTTGCTGTGTTCTCTCGGAACCATGGTCCGGGGCGGTCACGTGTATATCCACCGGTTTCAGCTCCTTGGGGTCACCACCGTCCTTGTTGTTGCTGGGGTCATTCTCATTATTCGTACGTACAGTTGCAATGGGTCCCTGTTTATCCTGTTCTGTGGGTACTGTAGAAGGATCAGGTGGATTACTTATAGTTTCGCTCGCATCTGGAGGATTCCTGGTACCTATGTCCTTACTATCACCTGTGAATACGGACAAAGGGTAACAGTGAGAATGTGCTGAAACTGAAGCTTCTTAGGGTTCATGCGTGGCTACACGAGTGTTGGTCGGCACCATTGGTGCGACGGGGACGGCGGCAGGCCGGAGACGGACCGGGGTAGGGCCCGGGGGTAGGGTGCCACCACGGGCAAAGACTCTCTCTCTCCAACTACACAACACACACACAGAGTGTGTGTCTGTGTGTCACTGTCTGTGTCGACGTCGACGTCTACGTGGCTACCTGTCGCGGCTGTCTATCGGCGCGCTCACTCTCACTCGACGTATGGTTTCTCTCGCTCCGTGGTGTCTCTCCTTCTCTCTGCGGAAAAGTTGTGCGGTTTTTGCTCGTTGTTTTTGTTGTCGAAATTCACTCAGGACACTACCTTGTCCCGAGTCTTCGGGTTTCTTCCCACAAGTACTGTCAATGTCAGATGTCGTTCCAAAGGAGACAAGCGTCACGGACGAAGAAGCAGGGAGGCCGCTGCCTGCATTGTTGGTCACGGAAACTGTGGGTGTACTTCGACACTTACCTGCTTTGTCTATATCCGTCCCCGGCGGGTGCACCTGCGTTCCATGTCCCCCTGTCGCTGATCCGTGCTGTTGTGGTGGTGCCGCAGGTGGGGGTTGTTGTCCAGGTCCTGGTCCCGTTCCTGTAGATGTCGCTGGTCCTTGCCCTCCGTCTGCCCCTGCGGGCGGTGCCGCCACTGGGGGTTGTGGTGCGGGTCCCGCAGCCGGTCCTGATGCCGTGCCTTCCGATGTCGTTGGTCCTGGTTTTTCTACCGGTGGTGGGGGCAATACTGGTGGTGCAACGTCTGGTGGAGTCTCTGCGCGTCCAAGTCCTGCGCCCCCTAGGCCACCTGTTGTGGGTGGTGACGTCTGTACGGCTGACTGTGGCTCCTTTTTTTTTTTGTTGTCCCCATGACTTCCTTCCGCCGCCGTGTCCTTGTCCGGGTCCTTGCTCGTATCCTGTGCTGCAATAAGATAGAAGAAAGGAAGAAGGATGGATGAACATATGATAAAAAAAAGGACACAAGTGGTACAGAAAGAAGAGCCGGGACGGTGGGGTCAGATAGCGGCAGGGTAGGGTCGGCTCGATGCAGTGGGTCGATGCATGGATCGAGGTGCAATCGGTGGACTGGGCTAGATGGAATGGGTGACTCGGCAGCAAGCGCACGCTGAGGTGAACGCGGTCGACTGGGTCGGGATGGATGGTAGCAGTACAACTTTTATTTGTCGCCGTCATCTCGTCGACCCCTAGGCGCCGCTCCATCCCACGCACCACTGTCACACCAATGTGACGCCGTGCCGCACGCACACACACAGACCGCGTCTACACTCGTCGCCCCCGCTGAACGTCAGCGAAGGGGTGCTGCCGTTGATTTTGCGCCTGGTCCGCCGTGCGTAGTTCACGTGCGTTGTTGTTCCCCGGTGTGCCATGCTGTTGTGGCCGCTGTGCCATGCGTGCGCGGTCGTATGGTCCGTGTGCGGCTGTATCGAGCCGTGTATTCGTAGGGGCCGTGTGCAGCCGTAGTGGTGCTTTCTCCCATCGGTCCTTACCTGTCGATCCTGTTGTTGCAGGCGGCACAGTAGTCGTCGTGGCGGCCTCCGCGTTTTTGCCATCCGTCGCTGCAATAAAGGGCAAAAATGGGAATTAGAACTGTGCGTATTTAGTTTTTGTGTTCGTGAAAGGACACAGGAATGAACGTTGTTCGCATATATCCATCACGGTCCCTGGTGCACTTTCACTTTTACTTCGAAACTGTCTGTAGTTGTGTTCTGTGTACTTATCCTTCCTGCGTCATTCTAATTTGTTTCCTTCTGCCCCAAGCTGCCCGGCCTTACCTAAGTGCGCTTTCTTCTCCTGTGCCTTTTGCTCTATGCGTGCCTCTGCCTGTTTCCCGATCTCCCTAAATATGTCCTTCATTCCTTTCTTCAATCCGTCGACTATTTCAACAATCTGCGACCGTTCCTTATCCTCTATATTCCTATTCCCTAGGATGTGCTCTAGGCTCCAATCGTTGTTCCACATCTTCCGGCACATTGCATCTCCCTGTACTCTCCTTATTGCCTCTTTTAGTTTGCTATTTTGCCCTAACCAGGTTTTGACTTGTTCATTTAACTTAAGTTCCCTTATTTTCAAATCACCAACTAGTTCTCTACCGCATTTCGCGTTGTTTATTAAACCTCCCTCTATTCCTCCAACCTTCCCTAAATTGTCCATTGTTTTCCATGCATAAAATGTACCCCACGTACTTTTGCACACGGATTCGTTTAATACTTCGCTAAACATATGTGCTATTATGCATCGTAAGTGCTGCCTTATGCTTTCATTTATTTCGTCTTCCTGCAGTCTAGTCTTTTCTGTACTACTCCATCCATTCATGAAAAATAAGGCCGCTACCATAAGTACGCATACAATTTTATCCCCCACTTTTTGTCCTACATAGTGCGGACCGGCGTGAGGAGCACTAGGGTGGTCCCATCCTTCATTACCACAGTTCGATGCATACAGTATTATATCGTCGCCCTCCATGTGTTGCACAAACTCCTCCATGACCTCTTTGGTCTTGGTCCACACCATGTCCTACAATGTAAGAGAAACACAGGAAATATGTACATGCGCATGTGTGCTGGAATGCCATATGCCACGATGCGCTGCATTGTCTCTTATACCAATAACACCAGGGCAGTGCACTGCCCGTTTTGCTCTTCTATTCCTGTATGCTCCTACCTCATACGTCTCCTGTTTGGAAATGCCCGCGTCGATTACCCATTGCGCCAATGCATTCGCCAAATCTACCGTTCCCATACTGTTACCATGCACTGAAATACACGGTACCCGTTATAAATATCTATAGAGTACTAGTATTCTTATTCTTGTTATATGGCATTAATTCCATCGTGCTTCCAATTGTAGTCCCTAATACTGCCTATGTCTGTCTTCACTGCTTCGTGCCTTTAAATCAAACGTTCCATAAAAACAGAAAAAATCAAGCACCTAATGATAGAAGGCAGCATGGACCAAAACCAAAAATGTGCATAGGAATTGCAAATAGGGAATACAGGGAAGAAAAGACAAATAAAAAAGACAGACAAAAATATAAAAAGGTACACTACTACACTACCGTTCACACACAATGCGTCATGAATATACACCCCGTCCCCCCTTTCTACACCGGTCTCCACTAAACGCCTGGCACACACACTGGCTCTCTGTGCGTACAATAAAAAACCGCAGTATAACAACATCAAGTCGCTGCTTCCGTCGTGGCCGCCGTCGTTGCGGACCGTACGGCTCCCACAAAATATGTGTGTTCCTGCGCGCCGCCCCTCACTCTCTCTGCGCCCGCTGTATGGATCCCTCTCTGGATCCTTTCACTCGAACAATCCGTGTACTCGGCCACTTCGTCGAATCGGTGTTGCACGTGGCCGCGTTGGTCGACGCGCTTGCTCGGAGAGACAATCTATCCGCCTTTCTTACACTCGGCTACTTCGTCGAATCGTTGTTACACTTGGCCGCGTTGGTCGACGCGTGTGCTCAGAGAGACAATGTCTCCCTCCGTTCTTACACTCGTCTACTGCGTCGAATCGTGGTTACACTCGTCTACTTCGTCGAATGCGTCGTACACTCGGCCGCGTTGTTCGATGCGTTTGCTCGGAGAGACAATCTCTCCTCCTGGTTACACTGGGACAATCCTGCGTCGAATCGTTGTTACACTCGGACCGATGGTTTGCTCGGAGAGACAATCTCTCCTCCTTCTTACATTCGCCTACTTCGTCGAATCGTTGTTACACTCGAGCCGCGTTGCTCGACGAGTTTGCTCGGAGAGACAATCTCCTCCTACTTCTTACACGCGGCTACTGCGTCGAAACCTTGTTACACTCGGTCGCGTTGGTCGACGCGTGTGCGAGGAGAGACAAGGTCTCCTCCGTCTTACACTCGGCTACAATGCGGTTTATCCGGCCGCGTTTGCGCGGAGAGACAAGCTCTCCTTATACTCGAATGATTATGCGAATTCTATGTTAGTTGTACACTATACCCGTAGAATGCACTTGCGCAGCTTGTAATAATTAACGTCACATAAAGGAGAATACGACCCGTTCATATTATTCATGTAAATCTACATGTTATATGCATTTAACCGCTACCACCCTGTGCCCATGGTCATGTTAAAAGAAGTGGACTACACAGAAAAAGAACAAAACAAAAGCAAAAGTAAACAGAAGTAAGCAGAACAGAGCAGAACAGAGAAGAAGAAAAAAAGAATATATAGAATAAAGTAAACCGGAAATACATTATGTATATCACATAATGAAATAAAAGTGGTCTGCCGTTAGCATGCGTTATGTCCCATTCATGAGCGCCGTCATGCGAATTTCAGAGCTTTTCCAATAGGGCATCCACATATAACTCCTTCTCCTGCAAACTGCGTTCGAGCTCGCATTGTTCGATTACGAACGCGAGAAGGAGCATGCACAATTTGAGGCCGGTTAACGGTTGTTGCATGTAAGGTTGCTGATGCAGTTGCGTCCGCGGTAAATGTCTCACTCTTAGAACATCTTCTGTTGCCTTTACTTTTTCCACTTCTAAGTGTTTGTCTACGCGTGCTACTTCGCCTTTTTGCGGTACTGTGTGGTCCTCCACATTATTCAACAAACGTTGAAACCACTGCTCCGTATACATACGCATGTGCCGATGTTGCTGTGCGACCCACTTTTTCCAGGCATCTTTCTTCATCTCTACGGATGGCATATGGCCACGCTCACCGAGTGCACGCTGCCCGTTGTGTGCGCGTTCCGCCATGTGCTCACGCAGGTATTGTTTCCAATGCACTTTTAATTGCAAAAACCACGGCTGCGTGGTGCACTCCTGCAATAGATGCGTGTTGCGGTGAATCCAGTTAATCCAATTAGTGTGGTCGGGGGCCGAATTCGCGTTCGCACGAACTGGACAGAGGACGGAGTCATGTGGTGGACAAGGTTCCGTTGCTAACTGTGTAGTTTCCATGCACTTCCATGGATCGGAGTCATGTGGTGGAGAAGTGTCCGTTGCTAAAGGTATAGTTTCCTTACAACTCCATGGATCGGGGTCATGTGGTGGACAAGGGTCCGTTTCTAACTGTATAGTTTCCACACAACTCGATGTATCGCAGTCATGAGGTGCAGATGGATCCGTGGCTTGCGAGTCAATGGAGGAAACATTGTTCCCTGATAAAGCCTGGTTTGTGATAGGAGCATCCAAGGAACTTCTATGTCCGTTGTTGCGCCCCATGAACTCTTCAACGAGTATGTGCAAATAGTCGTCTTTGACGTTTTCCCATTCGGTCGCTGCACATTCGTGCAGCACTTCTAGATGTAGCTCGATGATCGTGCGCCTATGCAAGCGGGGTGGGCGTTGTCCGCGGCGGCCGGCAGCGGACGAAGTTGGCGTGTCCCTAACCATCGTGTACCCGTAATCGGGTGGTGGTGGTGCCGACGGCCGTTGTAGATGCTGCAATATTTCTTCGTCGAGTGGCGGTGACGGCACGTCACGAACGGTGCGAAACGTTCGTCGTCGTTTGGCGAGGTAGGCAAAGTACTAAGCAGAAAAAGGGGGGTAAAGAGCAGGGTGGGCACGGTTGGATAAAAGGAATGAACGCGGGTGTAGGAGTATATTGGTAAGGAAGATCATATATTGTAGCCGGTTGGGATGTTCTGAGGCATAAACATCCTGCACATGCGGCATGCCCGCATTGTCGTGTATACTTACCTTCCAAAGGGAATAACCAAGGAGGGCCACGATGACGGAAGTGAGAAAAAACAGGACGGGAGTAGTGGCGGTAAGGATATCGCCGGTTAGGTCGGGCACTGCGTAGTCATCCTCCATCCTTCCATCTTCGTCTAACTTCTTCGGGCTGAGCTCATGCTTTGGTAAGGTTGGTGGTGTGTATCCTCCTCCTGGATCCTTTGTACCCTTTTTTGTTGTTAAGTCGAATCCGATATCGCACTGCTTTTTGTGGTCTTCGAAAGTACAATATTTATCATCGAGCACGTTCACAGTGCTGCCCACCCTGGAGCCCTTTGCACGTTCTTGAATTTGTCCCCCACCCCTGTTCTGTTCAGGTGCGGTCGGATACTGTCCTATGCCCCATAGGGGCGTATTATCCGGCGCTACAAAGAAATCTTCATCTCCAGCACCAGTACCAGAACTGGAACTTGAGCTGGAGGAACTCTCACGTCCACTTGTGCCCCCGCCACTACTACTGCTTCCTCCATTAGAGTCCGAGGCTGGTGGATCAGTTGGATGCTGGCCTGTTGTTGATTCCGTTAGTGGTACCAGCGCTGGGTCCTTCACTGTTGTATGCGTTTGTCCCGAACCTGCTGGGGACATAGTGTCTGTAGTGTTCTCATTCACAGCCGGTGTCGCTCCATGACCGGGCTGTTTCGTCTTATCGGCGACGTCGTCTTTCCCTGCGTGAACATTGGAAGCAGGAAGAGAAAAATGATGAAACTAAAGCTTTGTGAGGTGGTTGCCCATGGTTGTTGTTGGCCACACCGTTGCAACCGATCGTTGACCACGGTTGACCACGCGGTCCGTGACTCGTGGTCCGGCGCTCACGGTTGACCCCCGGTCCGTCGCTCATGATCCGGCGCTGAAGGCTGGCTGGACCACACGGTTGTTGTGGTCCGTGGCTGATGTTCGGCACCATTGGTGCCACGGTGCGAACGATGATTACGGTGCCACGCCGGGAAAAGACTCTGTCTCTCCCACACACAACACACACACAGTGTGTGTGCGGTTGTCTACGTCTGTCGACGTCTACATCCAGCGGCCGATCACGTTCGCCCGGTCGCTCGCATTCCACGTTTGGTTTCTCTCTCGGTGTTCTCTCCGTGTTGTCTCTCCCGCTCTCTCCGGAAATTGTTGTTTGTGTTGTGGTGTTTTGTGTCTGTTGCATTCATAATGTACATGTAGGGCGTTGGTGCACGCCGGTATACATTAATACTATCTCAGATGGTCTTGCCTGTGTTCGAACAGTCCGGTGTGGTTGCAGTATGGTTGAAGGTTATCGTGGTACCCACGTGGTTCGCGTCCGTGGCTGACTTATGGGTATGTGTACTTGTACCGCATGTTGGTTTCGATGTATCCGTACCTGCTTTCTCTGATCCGCCTTCTATTGGCCCTGGTGATGCCCGTGATGGTGCTGCCGGTTTCTTGCCTCCTGCAAATGAAGGCGGAAGAAAGATGATACAAAAAAAAGGGACACAAGTGGTACAGAAAGAAGGGGGCCGGGAGGGTTCGATCAGGTAGCGGCAGCGTATGATCCGGTTCGATGCAGTGTGTCGATGCATGGATCGAGGTAGGACTCGGATGGACTGGGTGCTGCGGCCACAACAGTACGGTGAGGTGGACTGCGTCCTCGGTGAACTGGGTCAGGCGGCAGCAAGCGAACGGTGAGGTGAACTCGGTCGACTGGGTCTAGGTGGATGGTAGCAGTACAAGTTGTATTTGTTGTTGCCGTCATGTCGTCCGCCGACCCGTTCCGTCCTGTGCCACGTTGCCTCTACCTCAGCCGCGGCACACAGCGTCGTCGCCGCTCAACGTCCACGAACTCGTTTGCTGCGCTGTTCCGCACGCGTGTGGGTGTTGTAGCCGTGTGCGGCCGTATGTTCCTGTTGGTACCGGCCGTATTATCTGTATGTGGCCGTGTTGGTGCTTTCTCCCCTCGGTCCTTACCTACGGGTCCTGATGTGGCCGATTCTTTGCCGTCTACGTTGCCGGATTGTGCTGGTGTAGCGCTTTCAACAGAGTTCGGTGGTATGGACTCAGTTTCGTCATCCTTGACATCGCTACTGCCGGCATCTCCGTTAGGGTCCATGCATGCGCCATTTGCCTGCGCGCATTGCACTGCGGCTGTCTGTACCTCCTCAACTATGACCTTCAGTTTTTGGCCTAACGTAGTTATAGCTTCCTTCTCCTCTGGCTGCATTTCTATTTTGTCACCCATTTTATGTGTACCCGTTGTTACCCCGTCAAGTTCTTCTAGTTCTTTCTTACATATGCTCTGTATGTGTTCCCCTCCAATTTTTTCAGTCAACGTCTTTTTTTTCTCTAACCATTCCTGAATCTTGTTCCCCATGTTGAATTCCTGTTTTTTTATGTTTTGAAACACTCCCTTTCCACATTTACCTTTGGTTATTAAACCACGCCCTATATGTGGCTCCATTTTTTGCATTGTGTACCATGCATAATATACACCCATTTGACTTTTGCATGGAGATTCATTCAATATGTACATAAATATATTTACTATTGCGCACCTTATATGTTCCTTCAACTCTGCATTCTTATGGTCTGTATCGTCCGCGCTCGCGGACCACGGGCGCCACCCATTCATGAAAAATAATGCTCGTGACATGAGTGTGCACATAAGTCTATCTGCGACCTTCTTTGCCAACACGGGTTGTTCAATGCTCGGATGTTTGTAACCCGCGTTCAAACAATTAGCTGCATAGATGTCTAGATCCTCATCTTCCATATATTTCACAAATTCTTCGAGTAGCGTCTTTATATCCTGCCATAAACTTTGCTACAATTGGAGTAATGCAGGGGCATGTACGTATATGTCATTTTCTTGTCTTCACGGAAGATACTGACGCCAGTCGCGGCTATGCTACAGTCTGTACCTCGTATGCTATGCTCACATCGGGCATATGCTGTCCCCTTCACGTAACGTGAACATATGTGTGCTGCAAACTGCGTACCCGGCCCATCGACCACCTATATATATGTATAGGCGCCTGGTCACTCCATGTTGCCCTCACAATAAATTACCGTATATGCTGTTCCATCCCCCCCTAGTGCCCTTGCCCTCACATATTGTGCTAATAAATGTCCCAACTGCGCATACGACATATTGTCACAACCATAAACCAATATAATGAAACGAATGATATCATTATCTCTCAGATAACGGCTTGAATATAATATCGGCACAATGTGCTCTTAGTTATTATTCAGATACTTAGAGAATGGAACATATTTTCCAGTATGTAATCCCTGCAGAAACATCGCACAGTGCCGAACTCTCCCCTATCTGAATTTAATCACACATCCTACAAAGCGTGGGGTTTGGAAGAAGGAAAAAAAGAAATGAAAAAAGGGGAACACGACAAAGCAAGTGAACGAAAAACAATATACTATTCACATGCACAACATCATCATCTACACAACACAGAGCAGACTCTGTGTGTCTTCGACACATGAAGAATGTCCCCCCTTAGAGAACAAAAAAAAAGAACACAAGAAAGGTAAGGAAAAAATAGAAAAAGTACTACTACTACCGCCTACACACGCAACGCGTCATGAATATACACCCCCTCACCCCCTTTCTACACCGGTCTCCACTAAACTTCTTCACACACGTTGTCTCTCTGTGCGTACACCTAAAAACCGCAGTAACAACATCAAGTTCTTCTGCCGTCGTTGCTGCCGTCGTTGACGCCGTTATTGCTGCCCCACACAATATGTTTGTTCCTTCTCGGCCACCCCGCTTTCTCTGCTGCCTCCCTTGATCCTGTACTGGAATCCCTCACTCGAATCCTTCCCTCGAACCTCCTTACTCGGCTACTTCGTCGACGCGTGTGCTCGGAGAGACAATCTGCTCGTTCATGCACTCGGCCACTTCGTCGAATGCGTCTTACACGCGGCTACGTCGGCGAACCGCGTGTGCTCGGAGAGACAATCCTCCTCCTTTGTTACACTCGGCACAATGCTTACTCGGCTACTTCGTCGAATCGGTGTTGCACGCGGTCGCGTTACTCGGACAATCCCGTTTACCCGGCCACGTTTGCTCGGAGAGACAATCTCTCCTGCTGCTTACACTCGGCTACTTCGTCGAATCCTTCTTACACTTGGCCGCTGTGGTCGACGCGTTTGCGCGGAGAGACAATCCTGCTCCTTCTTACACTCGGACAATCCTTCGTCGGAGCCTCCTGACTCGGACCGGCCGCTTTGGTCGACGCGTGTGCGCGGAGAGACAAGCTCTCCCGCCTTTGTTTCACTCGGACAATCCGTGGTCGAATCGGTCTTACACTGGGCCACGTCGTCGAATCGTGGTTACACTCGGCTACAATGCGGTTTACGCGGCCGCGTTACTCGGCTACGTCGTCGAATCGTTGTTACACTCGAGCCGCGTTGGTCGAACCGCGTTTGCTCGCAAGAGCCGTTCTGAGTGGGGCGCGTGGTGTCGACGCGGTTGCTCAGAGAGACAATGTGTCCCTCCGTTCTTACACTCGGCTACTTCGTCGAATCCTGCTTACACTCGGCTACAATGCGGTTTACGCGGCCGCTGTTGCTCGGAGAGACAATGTCTCCTTAGACTCGAATGCGTAGGCGCTTTCTATATTTGTTCTACTCTACACCATTAGAATGCACGTGCTGAGCTTTTAATAATTAATTTCCCATAAAGGAGAATACGACCCGTTCATATTATTCATGTAAATCTACATTTTATGTGCATGTAACCGGTACCCACCTGTTCCTATGGGCATGGTAAAACAAGTGGACTACACAGAAAAAGAACAAAACAAAACAAAAGCACAAGTAAGCAGAACAGAGCAGAACAAAAAAAGAAGGTATGGAATAATGTAAACCCGAAATATACTATGTATATCACATAATGAAGTAAAAGTGGTGTGCGGGTAGCATGCGTTATTTCACATTCATATGCCCCGTCATCCTAATTTCAGAGCTTTTCCAATAGGGCATCCACATATAACTCCTTCTCTTGCAAGCGACATTCGATCTCGCACTGTTCGATTACGAACGCGAGAAGGAGCATGCACAATTTGAGGCCGGTTAACGGTTTTTTTATATGAGGTTGCGGATGCAGTGCTTGCGTCCGTGGTACATCTCTCACTCTTAGTATATCTGCTGTTCCCATTACTTTTTCCACTTCTAAGTGTGTTTCTACTCGAGGTACTTCGCCTTTTTGCGATGCTGTCTCCTCCGCGATATTTTCTAACAAATGCTTAAACCACGCCTCCTGGCCATACATACGCATGTGCCGATGTTGCTGTGCGACCCACTTTTTCCAGGCATCTTTCTTCATCTCTACGGATGGCATATGGCCACGCTCACCGAGTGCACGCTGCCCGTTGTGTGCGCGTTCCGCCATGTGCTCACGCAGGTATTGTTTCCATTCCGCTTTTAATTGCAAAAACCACGGCTGCGTCGTGCACGCCCGCAGAATATGTTTGTTGCGGTCAATCCAGTTAATCCAATTAGTGTGGTCAGGGGCCGAATTCGCATTCGCACGAACTGGACAGAGGACGGAGTCATGTGGTGGACAAGGTTCCGTTGCTAACTGTGTAGTTTCCATGCACTTCCATGGATCGGGGTGCTCTGCGTTAGGTCGGAATACATGCGTTCCGTCGGAATACGTGGGTGTATCCGGCGTGGGTGAAGCGGCGTGTTTTGTTGAGTGCTGGGTGGCTAAACCGTCGTCTGGGGTACAGACATGCGAGCTACTTGTACACGTGTTGTTGCCCCCCATAAACTCTTCAACGAGTATTTGCAAATAGTCGTGTTTGACGTTTTCCCATTCGGTCGCTTCACATTCGTTGAGCACTTCTAAGTGTAGCTCGATGATGGTGCGCTTATGCACGCGTGTATGACGTGGTCGTCGTTCGGCAGCAGATGCAGGTTGCCTATCCCGAATCATCGTGTACCCGTAATCGGGTGGCGGCAGTTCGCCGCGTTGTAGATGGTCCAATATTTCTTCGTCGAGTGGCGGTGACGGCACGTCACGAACGGTTCGAAACTTTCGTCGTCGTTTTTGTCCGAGGTACGCAAAGTACTAAGCAGAAAAAGGGGGGTAAAGAGCAGGGTGAGGACGGTAGGATAAAAGGAATGAACGCGGGTGTAGGGGCATATTGGTTAGAACGATCATATATTGGTGCCCGTAGGGAGTTTCTGAGGTATAAACATCCTGCGCATGCGGCATGCCCGCATTGTCGTATATACTTACCTTCCATAGGAAAAAGGCAATGATGCCAATACCAACCACCGCGGGAATGAGCGCGGGGGTGTGCGGCTTGACATGTTCCCATTTTAATTCCGGGAACAGGGAAGGGGTGATGGGTGCATCCGCAGGTAATTTCTCCTCCTGGTTTCCTTTTGCTCCAACATTCTCATTATTCGTGTGTCCAGTGGAACCGGGTCCTGAGGAACCAGGTTTGTGATCCCCAGTGGAGGCAGTGCCTGAGGAACCAGGTTTGTGATCCCCAGTGGAGGCAGTGCCTGAGGAACCAGGATTTTGGTGACCCGTAGAACCGGATCCTGAGGATGAGGAACTTCCACTTCCTCCCCCACCTGCGCCTCCTCCTCCACCCTGTTCAGTACCTGCTGTGGGCGGTTCGACGCCGGGGCCGTTGCCGCCGACACCCGCCTGATCTGGGTTCGGGTTCGGTTTTGGTTTGGGTGGATTGAGAGGAGGGGGGTCATCGTTGCCGCCATCTACCACTTGGTCACCGGGGCTGTGTGCAGTTCCTGCAGCTCTGGGATCCTTTGATTTCTCCTTATTGTCCGTAGTCGAATCTGCTCCTGTTCCTGTTGGTAGTGTCGTTGCTGCGGGTGATGTTTTTGTTGTCTCTGATGCGGCTGGTTTTGCCTCTGGTTGTAGTTCAGATGAAGCTGGCACGTGTTCCTGCCCAGGGTGCACCCCTGATCCTTCCGGTTGCGTACTTGGTGTAACCTGAGTAACATCGTGATCTGTAAGTTAGAACAGGAGGAAAAGAATATGAAAGAATGTGCACTTTCAGATATTTGGTTGGCCACACGGTCCGTCGTTTCACGGTTAACAGCCGGTCGGGTGACTAGACAGGGAAGGGGGCAGGGTGCCACCCCGGGAAAAGACTCTGTCTCTGCCACACACAACACACACAACACACACAACACACACAACACACAGACACAGTGTGTGTGTCTGTCTGTCTGTCGACGTCTAGCTGTCTACATCCCGTGGCTGTCGCCTCGTCGGTCGGCCGCCATTAGTCTCATTCGACGTTTGGGTTCTCGCTCTCCGTGTTGTCTCTCCCTCTCTTGCCGGAAATGTTGTTTTTTTTGTTTTTTGTTTTTTTTTTTT